CAGCCTGTTATACATAGCATTGACACAAAGGGTTCGTGTCCTTAAAGCACAAGGGTCCTGGAACCACAGAGGTTTGGGGTTAACCCAAAAACCTTGGGCAACAACCCAAGAACTGCTGCACTTTGCCAATGGCGCTTGGTTTTTCGCGCCAGTTTTTACCAGACCACTCGCACACCACAGGCGGAGGGCATACAGAAGCCAGGCGACCTCACGAAAGCCTCAACCCTGTGGCGTCGAGACGCCACGTTTTTTTTTTTTGTTTCACCCTCTTTTTTTCATCAGCACTTCGACTGCCCCAACACAAGCGGTACAGATCTTTGCTCGGGCTGAGGCTACATCTACCGAGGGGGAGCTTGGAGAAGGACGTGGTACTACGGGGGGTTGGATGACGTCACGACAGCCTCAGCCCTTCGGCGTCGTAAGCCACGTTTTTGTACATCACCACTATACTGAGTGCCCCGACACAGGCGGTACCGATATGTTTCTAAGGCTAAGGCTACACCCATGGCCAACCTGCAATTGCTCCTCGTAGCCACCGGTTCTTGACCATCCAGAATCCATGGCTGCTCTACTCTTTCGTACCGCTGACATGTGTTTGACGGGGGGAGGAGCCCTACCAAAGTTGGTTACAGGCCCTCAGCATCCCTCCCAGGCCAGCCTCGCAGGCCATGCCCAGCAGTGCATACGCATACCTTCAGTTGGAAGCAGCTTGTACCTACGTGTCGGGTTTACTTTCAGTAGTACATCCTGTTTCCGTTCTGAAGCCACGTTTTTTTGATGAAAAATAACTACTCATCCTAGCCAGCCTTTGCTGCTCAGTGTTGCCACCGATTTCTGACCCTCAGGAATGAATGTCTGCTTTTCTCTTGCATGCCGCAGGCATGATACACGACGTGGACTGGAGTGGGCGTGCTTGATTTTGGTAGCGGGAGGGTTTTGTTGGGCAGGATGCACCTACGGTTGGGGGTCAACTGTAAGCCTTGGGCAGCAACCCTAGAACTGCATTATTTCAGTTCCGCACGTTACCCTACTGAGGCGAAACACCAGCAATATCTCGGTACGTAACTGTACTATTTAGGAGGAGGAGGAGGAGGAGGAGGAGGAGGAGGAACTGACCCACTAAGGCAAGTGTCGACCTCTACCTGGCGGGCGCTTGCTCTATTTTCTTTTCTGGTCCGGGGCTCTTGTTTTCTCGTTTTCGGCGGCGCCCGCCAGGTGCAGTGCCCCGAGTCGGTTTCTTTCTCAAAAGCGCCACGCTCGTAGGATTTCGGTTTGGCCAACGCAAACGGGAGGAGGAGGAGGAGGAGGAGGAGGAGGAGGAGGAGAAGGAGGAAAATCGAGTAGGGTATCGACTACCGAACTGACTGACCCCCCAAGTTGATTTGTTCGCCGAGTCTACAAAACGGATTGAGAACGTTCTACGTTGTTGGTTGACTCGACGAGAACATCAATGGTTTGGGCAAGTCGATTCTGTAGTCGATCCCCTACTCGAGAGGAGGAAGCAAGCCGCCGAACCGTGGCGCCGCGCACCGTCGTGGCGCTGGCAGGGAGCAGGACCGCGGCGGCGAGCGGGGGCGGCGTTCGGAGGGATGCGGGCTCGAGGTTGTCGTCGTTGGCTTACTCGTTGTTTTGCCGATCGGCGCGGGTCCCCGCACGCTCCCTCCACGGTGGCGGCGGCGGTCGCGGTCGCCACCGTGGAGGTGGGGCTCGAGGTTGTCGTCGTGTCTCTCTTGATTGTTATGCCAGCCGCGGTGTCGCCGTCGGCGCCAGGCGGGCTTTGGGTGCCTGCAGGCTCGGGGAACGAGCAGTTACATGAACATGAGTTGGTGGTCGTCTTTGTACAGTCGATTCGCATAGTAAGGATGGGCAACCTTCCCAAGGGTACCTTTGCATCCTTGCCGCCTCGGTCCATTCTTGGCCACCTTCGCTGGCCGCGCCTCTGTCGAACAGCTTCGAGACGGCCTTCCGAGGCCCTTGCGTCCTTAGCGTGCGTCTTCATGATACGGGTCGACTGCATTCATTGTTTTGTCGATCGGCGCGGGTCCTCGCACCCCCTCCCCCCCTCGGCGGTGAGCGAAGGAGGAAGTCTGAAGAAGGCCTTCTCAGAAGGCGGCGGGGCTTCTCGGCAGGCGTCTAGCCTTCCGAGAAGGCTTCCCTGCTTTTCGGGGAAGGCTCAGGGAACTTCTCGGCAGGCCAGGGGCCTGGCATCGCTCGGTTCTCGGCGAGGACCCTGGAGGAGCATCCTGGATCATCGAGCAAACAAAAACACGCACGAAACCGAAAAATGCACCGGGAATGGACGTCCGAGCGATGGCAAGGACTTCCGAGCCTTCTGGGAAGGCCTTCCGCTTCTCGCTTCGCCCCCGGGCTCGCCGCCGACCCCTCCCGGGAGCAGATCTTGCCTGTTTGGGGCGCCTGCTTCAAGCAGGCGGCGTCTCCTCCAGAGGACGCACTGTTGCAAACAGCCGCCCCAAGCAGGGGTCCGGAACCATACCCCCCGTCTGCCCAGTGTCGACATGCCGAAGAAGGAAGCGTTCACGCCGGGGCTCGATGTCCCAGACGTTTTCGTCGGTTCCTGCGGGTTTTCCAGCCTCCAGTTCTTGCCACCAGCTGCGCCTCGTCGAGGGCTTTCAGGGGGTGCCCGGATCGCCCCGAACGGCCGATGGAGAGCCGAGACGCGAAAGCCACATCCCTCCTCCTCGCTCCTCCTCCCTCCTCCTCCTCCTCCTTCTCCTCCTCCTCCTCCTCCTCCTCCTCCTCCTCCTCCTCCTCCTCCTACGGTTGAGGGAAGGATTTAAGCAACGCTCCCCCCCCCTTCCTTGATGACTACTCGGAGGCTCAAGATCGGAAGGTCCGAAACCAGCATTGCATGTGGGGAGGGGGGGCGAGTTCAAGCCAGATGTTCCGCATGAGAGTTGCTCAGTGAGTCGCTTCCGACGCCTGCAGCAGGGGCAACGTCAGGGGGGATGTGCTCGTGATGCATCGGCCCCCAAGCACCCGTCGACCGCCGAGAGGGCCCGAAAGCCCGCCCCGCGCCCGGGAACGTGCGGCTCCGCTATCGGAGGCGGAGCGCCGGCCTCTCGTCGGGAATTGGAACACAGGCACCACCAGTGGCGGGCTGTTTTTTTTTTTCCATCCCAGGACTCATGAGGGTCGGGGACGACGTCGGGGTGGTGTGGTGTAGACTTGTTCCCCCGTCTTCCCGGGGGAACAGCGAAGCAGTTTATACACCAGGGTCCCGCGTACACCAGGATCCGCTTTCCTGTGCAGATTTCCGTGCAGGGCCCAGAAGAGCGTCGGTGTATGTACAGAGTTCGGTTCCCTACATCGGCGATGTATTGCCGAGTCCAGGCCGATGTTCTCCCCCCGAGCGAGTCCCCCCGCATTTCTCATCTCCCCCCCCCCCTCGAATCGGAGGAGGGCCAATTGAGACGACGGTGGGTCTCCCGCCAGGGCCAGATCCGCTCACAATCAGTGCCCGGGACGGAAAGCATCCAGGAGGCCTGGACAGAAAACGCAGGGGATGGCCACCGCAAGAGGAGGAGGAGGAGGAGGAGGAGGAGGAGGAGGAAGAAGAGGAGCAGAAAACGCAGGGGATGGCCACCGCAGTCTCGACTGGCCCTCCGCCGATCCCAAGGAGAAGGACCCAGGCGGCGAGCCCTGGAGGAGCTGGACTGCGGGCTCTGGAGCGAACGCGGCTGCCGCGCGGCTGGCGCGGCGGCCGGCTGCCCCGCCCGAGTCGCAGGCAAAGGCCTGCCTGGGCCTGCTGAAGGCGCTCCTGGGCAGCGTGCACATGCAGGTCATGGAGCTCGTGGCGCACAGGGAGCAGGCGCAGGCCGGCTCGCCGCCGGCGCACGCCGCGACCATCCACGGTGTGCGCGCGGAGCGGCGCCGCTGCTCCATGCCCGCGCTGACGGTGCGGCAGCGGCCAGGCTCTGCCGGGCCTCGGGCCGACGTCCCGCGGCCAGGCTCTGCCAGGCCTCAGGCCGACGTCGCGAGCGCGTCGCCGGTGGTGAGCTGGGGGGAGCAGGGCGCGAGCGACCTCCTGGCCGTCGGCAGCGGCAGTTGGCAGTGGCAGGTGGCAGCGATGGAAGAGAGCGGGGTCGCCTGCTGGGGCCTCTGAGGTCCTCAAGTCTCAAGGTTTCGAGTCGAGCGTTTGCGCATCATCTCGAGCCTCGGGACCCTCACAGATGGTCCCGCCTCGAAACATGGCGCAGAAAGATGTGGTCTAGGGCTCGGGTCGTGATTTTCTGGGCTGTCGAATGTGTGTTTCACAGCGCCAGATCTCGGGGACATTGCCAGCGCAAGCTGCCCGCGTGAGGCCGCGCCCTCGCTCTCCGCGCGGCGTGCCACGCTCCGCGTGGGCCACCGCGTCAAGGGTCGCTGCGCCCTCTCGGGCGAGGTCCGCCCGAGGCCCGCTTCTGCTCGCCGCTCACAGGAGGAGGAGGAGGAGGAGGAGGAGGAGGAGGAGGAGGAGAAGAGGAGAGGAGGAGGAGGAGGAGGAGGAGGAGGAGGGGGAGGAGTCGCGCAGGCGGCCGCGGCAGCCGGCCGGAGCAGCCACGACATGCCGCTGGCCCTGGCGCCCGAGGGCGCGCCGCGCGCGCCCTCGCCGCTGCCGGGGGCGGGCGCCGCCGCCGACGCGGCCCCGCGCCGCAGGCGGGCCCCGCGGCGGCCGCGCCCTACGGGCCGCCGCCCGCGCGGGCGCCGCCGAGCGGCGAGGCCGCAGCGCCTGCCGCGCCTGCGGGGCGAGCTCGCGCCGAGGACTTGGCATCGCTCGGACGTGTGTGCACGTTTTGTCTCGGCGAGGACCGTCGAGGACCGTCCTGGACCGTCGAGCAAAGAAAAAACTCACGCACGAGACCGACAGATGCACATTAAATGGACGTCCGAGCGACGGCAAGAGGAGCCGCGAGCAGAGGAGGAGGAGGCGGAGGAGGAGGAGGAGGAGGAGGGGGCGCCCCCGCCCGCCGCGGAGGGCCCAGAGGACCGCGCCGAGGAGGCGGCGCGCGGCGCGGCAGAGGGCGCCCCTGCGGCGTCGGGCGATGGTGCTGGCGGCAGGGCCCTGGAGCTGCGAGCAGAGGAGGGGGAAGGCCAGGAGGGGGAGCAACAAAAACCGACACAATGAATCGTCGATCCCCAGGAAAACATGGGGAAACATGGGAAGTGGGGGGGGAAGACAAGCGCCCAGAAGGTGTGCGAACAAAATGGGGAGCCCTGTTGTTTGTGTGTACTTATTTGTGTGTCCTGGGGCCCCTTCAGAAGGGGCGCCTCCGCCCGCCGCGGGGCCTGCGCCGCGCGCAGCGGCGACCTGCGCCGAGGCCGCGGCGCCTGCCGCGCCCGCGGAGCGAGCTCGCGCCCCGGAGCCGCGAGCGGAGGAGGGGGACGCGGCGCCCCCGCACGCCGCGGAGGGCCCGTCGCCGTCGTCGTCGTCGCCGTCGTCGTCGTCGTCGTCGTCGTCGTCGCCGTCGTCGTCGTCGTCGTCGCCGTCGTCGTCGTCGTCGTCGTCGTCGTCGTCGCCTTCGTCGTCGCCTTCGTCGTCGTCGTCGTCGTCGTCGCCGTCGCCGTCGCCGTCGTCGTCGTCGTCGAGGAGAAGCCACCCGGACCCGATGCTTGGCGTTTGCTCAGCGGCCCCTGGGCGTGTGCTGAACGGCCCTCCCCTGCTCGGGCCCTCCCCTGGGTGCGCCCACGAAGCTGCTTCGCGTGTCGGGGTGTGATGCTCATGAGGGTGCACTTCCTCCAGGGCAGAAAAAACGCCCCTACCCTGGTCTACGAGGCGCCGTAACTCCTGTGGGCTGACAGGGCCAACCCTGCGTGACGTGCCGCGCCCCGGCGGCTCCAGGCTCTGGGGGCTCCCAGGAGGTTTTTACAGACCACGCGCTTGTGACCCAGGATGGGGTCTTTTTTCCATCCCTCACTGACCATTTTGAAGCATATCCCCATCCCTATGTTCGACATCACCTCACCTCGATGCCGATCTTGAGGATCCCCTCCCTTTCTGAGGGCCTGTCCCTGAGATTGTCCTCGCTTTTTGCTCGCCCATCTTAGGGATAGGGCTACGTTGAGGAGGAGGAGGAGGAGGAGGAGGAGGAGGAGGAGGAGGAGGAGGAGGAGGAGGAGGATGAGACGAGGAGGAGGAGGAGGAGGCGGGAGGAGGAGGAGGAGGAGGAGGAGGAGGAGGGCTACGTTCGAGGCTGGCTATTCACTTCCCCCCTCTCCGCAGGAGGGGGGCACGGCAGCCCCGCACGCCGCGCAGGGCCCCGAGGAGCGCGCCGAGGCGGCGCCGCGCGGCGAGGCGCTGGGCGCCCCCGCGGCGGCGCCGGCGCCCGCGGCGGCGGCCGCCGAGGGGGGCCTCGAGGGCCTCGAGGGCCTCGACGGCCTGTCGGACCTCTCGGCGCTCTCCGGCTGCACGTCCTCGGACTCGGGCTCGGAGCTCTCGGAGGCGGCCGTCGAAGAAGAGCATATAAGAAAAGCCATGAGCATGCAGCTTTTGTCGGGGGTGGGCAGATCTCCTACCCTGACGCGTCGAGTAAGGAGTTGGCCGTTCTCGGCTCGCGAGAGGACGTCGCGGCCGTCATTTTTGCGGGTCCAGGTCCGTCGGTTTCGGTCCCAGGCCGTTTTCACTAAGGGGACGTTTACTAAAGGGAGGATTGCCCACCGCCGAAAGAGCACAACATCCATGAGCATACAACTTTTGGCGCTCCGCGCGGATTTCTAGGATTTGCGCTGGGCCCCGCGTGGCGGCGCCTCTGGCGCCGCCCCCGGCGCGCTCCGCGCGCCAGGGGGGGGGGGAGTCTGGCGTGGATCCAAGAGATCCGCCCGGAGCGCCCAAAGTGTATGTTTCCGGCGTTTTCCCTTTTAGAGTCGGCAAGGGTCTCGATGCCGCTCATTACCCTGCCTCAAAACCCTGGTGAGAACGCGCCCCAGGAGAGGTCCGGGGAGCAGCGGCATCGGTACAGTGAAAACCCATGCCAAGAAACACCCTGCTTGCCTTCAGGGTGCCCTGGATTCCGACGGTCTTACGATGGACAGCGTGACGCCCCCATGCCAATTCTCTGGACGTCCTGGGGTCTCAGGATTGGGTCTCTCTATTGAAAGGTTCCTCGTGGTCGTGCTCCTACTGTATAATATCGCCACCTACGGTAGGCTTGCGTCGTGTCGACCGGCGGGGACCCCGCCGCCGGCGTTCATTGCTGGACGCCGCTGGCGACCCACTTTGATGAACGGCAGATTATATCTTAGATATTAGTTGAGGACGTGAGTTACTAACCGACTTAGGCGACTTACGAAGTCGAGTTATAAGTCGACTTAGGCCGACTTAGCATAACCGATTTAGGTGATCGACTTAGGTCAGGTTATAAGTTGAGTTATAACCTAAAAGCTAAGTCGACAGCCGACTTATAAGTCGACTTATAAGTCGAATTATAATTCGAAGTTGTCGACTTAGTAAGTCGAACTTCTCCGACTTACTAAGTCGAACTATTTCGACTTACTAAGTCGAACTATTTCGACTTACTAAGTCGAATTAGCCCCGAGTTAGTATGTCCAAAGTAAATCCTCGATGTGTGGTTTTCTATATTTTCATCATGGGATTCAGTCATATACTACAGCGTTTCACACATACGCTTACATATGATCAGTTTCGTACACACATAGTTTTGCACATATGCGCGTGTAAGGTGTGTTCACGCATTGGGATGTAGATAACGCGCGCGCACGTACACATGCGCATGTATGCACATGCACAATCATATGTCGATGTCGATATCGATATCGATGCATACGCGCGCCGCCTGCGATACTCTTATCAGCAGTAGCGCGGCGCGCGCCCCCCCTGCCTTGTAATTGTCTGTTCTACGGGTCGCACGAGCACCCCGCGATTGAAGAGAAGAAGGAGGCGCGCCGCGCGTGTGCACATGCGTGTCCTTTTTTCGTGGTTGTTGAACTTTTTTTCAAAAACAACAACACTTTTCTTTCTTGTCGCGACGCAGGCAAGAAAGAAAAGAAACGCAGAGCGGAGGCGCTGAAGGCGCGCGCACTTTACGTTCGTGAACTGTTCCACCCTTGCCCCCGCAAAATAACGGATCGTGAAACGATCTTGTTACGCTCGCGAGTGTCGTGAGCAGCCATTACAAGAAAGGGCGCTCCTTGCAGTGAGAAGAAAAGGGGGAGGGGGGGGGAGGGAGAGAGAGAGAGAGAGAGATAGAGAGAGAGAGATCTGATGATGATGATGATGAGGATGATGGTGATGATGACGATGACGATGATGATGATGACGACGACGATGATGACGGTGATGATGGTGATGATGACGACGACGATGATGGTAACTCCCACGGCCGCGGATTGTTCTTGCCTTAGAGAGCCTCGCCTTCCTCCCCCCCCCCCTCGCCCCACCGCGGTGAGGGACATCGATGATCGAAGAGGACATCGATTATCGTTGCGGGGGTGGGGGTATATAGGGGTGGGGGGGGATCGGTCTGGTCGGTCGGAGCGGCGAGCGGCGCGCGCGCGCGCCGCCCGCCCCTCCGTGCAACAAGTGCCAGGCGCCGCGCCCCCCTCCCACCGCGACCGCCCTCGTCCTCCTTCTTTCCTCGCCTCCAGCTCCTCTTCCTCGTCGTCGGCATCCTCCTCTTCCTCATTCCCCTCATCATTTCCTACCCCCCTTGTGCCAGTCATTATTCCTCCCCCTCCTCTCTTCTCCCTCCTCTCCTTATCAGTATCCGTCTCCTCCTCCTCCTCCTCCTCCTTTTCCTCCTTCTCCTCCTCCCCCCCTTCCTCTTGCCATCGGAATCGATGCCATCGAACTCGATTGCCATCGAAGTCGGGCCCGCAGCCGCGTAGCGCCAGGAGAGTCGCACCTCGATTTCCTGCAGCGTCCTCGATATCGAGCGCGCGATGGCGTCGTTCGCTGACGGGGTCGATGCCCTGGACGGCTTCATCGAGGAAGCACTGCCGTCAGCAGATGGGCTTGTCGGAACGGTAGATGTGATCATCGAGAAGTTAATTTCTATTGGTATGGCTGTGTGGCTGTATCTAAAACCTCACCAAGTAGGCATCCACCCTTCAAACAGATATGGATTGGGCATCGAGGCTTACGAGGTGCACAGGCTGGGGGCTAAGATCGTGAGGAACAAATTTAGTTTCGCGGCAACGGCTGGTTCAGTTTGCACCGAAGATAAGAATGGCACGATTGCGCAGTATACCCAGGAGTTTCAGAGATCGCCGAATCTGTTTGGCAAATCCCCGCCCGAATCGATTCTCGCAGGGAGCGTGAGCTCTGGGCATACAAATCAGTTCCTGGTGGCTTGCTTAGAGAGAGTTGAGACGAAGGAGAAAACGTTGTCCGACATCGACGGTCGCATCAACACGGGGCAGTTCCAAAGCAAATATAAACAAGTGGAAAAGGCACTTGACACTGGGCTGAGGTGGTTGATGGTGAAAAAGGAGGCAGAGGAACGCTGGCCAAAACTTCCAGGTTTGATCCAGTCGGCAAAGCAGGCGACGGGCCAGGTGCAGAGTGAAGAAACGCATTTCGAGCTCTTGCTTCACATCCAGGCCATTGCATCCGAGCAGGGGCGCGACGGGTCCGTAATCGACTGGGCGAGGGTGAAGACCGAGGCGAACAAATCGGAATCGAAGTACGTTGACGATATCGACGCATGCGCTGACTTCGTGGCGAAATGGTGGGGGTCCCAGGGCCAGTTCATCAAGGACTCGTGCAGTTCGTGTCAAGGTGTGCGCCCGCTGGGCGCCTGGTGGGCGGGTGCGTGTTCGAGACATTGTGCAAGGCAAAGCCCGCGGCGACGGAGATGATGCCCCACCTGGTAATGGCCGTCGTCAAGGCTCACGTGAACGCCCCCCCCGAGTCCGTGCAGAGTCGAATGTGCAGGTTTGTGACCCGCTCAGAGATCGCGTCCCTCTTCGCTAGCACGGAGGCGAGGTCTAAAGCGATGGCAGCAGAGAAGACCTTGCGGCATCTTCACAGCGTTCCCAGGCAGATCGATATCGATACGATTGAACGCATTCCGATCATAGGTAAGGCCGACCAGTGGATAGCAATGGTGTTGTTAGGGAAAATGTTGGATGAGCGATACGCAAACATCGAGTGCGTCGCTCACGGGTGCATCGAGGCATTGAAGGCAAAGCAAAATGGTACCATCGAGATCGACAATCCGTATACCTGCCAGTCGGCCCAGCACGACAGCGGTGCCGATGGGGACTCCGTCAAGCAGACCCCCTTCAGTGGCATGCTGCAGCACGACGCCAGCACGGGGGAGCTGGCGAACGCTAACATCTGCCTCTTGGAGCAGAGAGGGTTTAAGGTTGATGACACCATCAGGCTGAGGAAGGACGATGAAGGTGCAATGGCGCGGCCGAGCTACGGGTGGTTTACCAGTTTCAGTGGTTCCCCCCTAACTCCCTCAAACACCTTGGACCCGCCACCCCTCTACGCCACATACAAACTCGTACATGTATTAGCCCCCCTGTGCATGAGTTGTGCCCTTGCACCTTCGGTCTAAGGGAAAACGTGGAAGATAGCTTCGATGTCGGAGGATGGCGTTCGGATTCGGGAGGTGATGCAGAATGGCTCCTTGCACCGCATCGTTATTCGGTGCCCCATTCCAAAGTTCATCGAGAAGTACTGCTTTACTTCAACCAAGAAAGAGTTGCTCGCTGGGTGGCCAGATGACGCAGCTTCTAAATCTACCGATCTCGTCGCGATCAACATCAAGTCAGCAATTGCTATGGCCATGATATCTTTGACATCGAAATTCGAAGCCGATGGGGGCGATCTGATGGCAGTCAGCAAACCCAACATGGGCATTTTCTCTAGGAAGAAGTTCCAGGCGGAAAAGTTGATCATCGTGCCGACGGCTCTGACCGTCAAGCAGTGCGGCGAGAGCGATCGCCCCTACTTCGATGTGCCCAGCCCTGATGAGAGGATCGCGGGGCCCTTCGCCCTCTCGGACCCTGGCGCTAAAGCGCCGAGCCTTGCTTTCAAGATCAGGCACGTGGACAGCACGGAGTCGACGAAGCCGAATTGCGCCATCACTAAGCACTCGGTGGCCGTTTCTGTGGGCAACGCTAAAGTGTACGATATCCAGATCCCCGTAGTCACCAACGTCATGGCTCTGAACGTTGGAGACGAGCTCACGCTTCCCAAGGTCGCGACCGCTGCCCCGCGGAAGAGGCCCACTCCGCCGACCATCGAGGTGTCCACCATGAAGAAAGTAGCGCGCAGCAGGTAGACATACATGCACGCATCGATTTGCGAAGCAGTGGAGCGATGTAGAGATGAGGCATCGACACCGATCATGGACTGTTGGATTCCCATGGGGTTTTGGAGTTCTTGCAATAGTTACCACGAAATATACATAATCGTCGTCGTCGTCGTCCGCTTCGTCGGCGTCATCGTCGTCGCCGTGCCCAGTTCCAAATCGCGGTCGAGTTCGAAACTTAGAACGTTTATCCAGGGCCGCGTATACACTTAAACCACTTACAACTTACTTAAGACGCTTAGGCTCCAAACCTTGTGTGTTTGTTTTTTTTCGGGGAACGCGGTTCACGACGCCACGTCAATCGAAAGTCGCATGCGCTTATCGCTCGACGTCGCGCGTTGCTTGTTTGGCTCCAGATGTAGATGCGCTCCCGCGCGCTCCTAGGAATACGTCGATATCGATATCCGACGCATGGTGGATGCTATGGCCTGGTGCGTGGACAAAGTTGTTCGCGTGCGCGCCCCTCACATGGCTTCGCCAGTCATTCTGGCCAATTGCAGGGAGCTAAACGGTTGTGTATTCTTTCACCTCAAGAAGAGCTGCGATGTGGTGATGAAGCTTCTTGGGCATCCGCGTCCCAAGGGCATCAGGCCTCTTGTTGACACATCGATTTGTGAAACATTGGAGCGCCTTAGAGATGACGCATGCAGATCGTCATTGCTAGCCTCCTTGGACCAGCTTAGCGTTCACGGAATGGAGAAGACATCCTTACCGCCGCCTGGCTCCAGGACATGGAAGAAACGATTCAGGTCGAACCACGACGAGATTCAGGGCACCACGGCGACGGTACATGGCCCGACCATGGGCGACATCAAGGGCATCCCTTTCAAGGTCATTATCGACAGGCCTGGGCCCCCCCTGTATGTGCAGCTGGAGGAGGACCTCGTGGTGTACTTGAAGGCGTGCTGCGAGGTCGAGATCAAGTCGGGAATCGTCCACAGGCAGCATCCGTCCGAGAAGGTTCCTGCTGAGCTCAAGGTCGACACTAAGGATTATCTGGGGCTGAGCTCCTCTTACACCAAGAGCCAGTTCGTGCTGAAACGTACAGGCGATGACGGCCGTGTGAGCCTGAGGTACAGGACAGCGAGCTCCGCGGCGGAGGCGATGCAGTTGTTCGAATCAGCTCAGGCAGGTGAGGACTCTCAGAGCAATGCTGGCACCTCCGACGGCGTTGCCGCCGACGACGAGAAAGAGGAGCTTGTCGAAGTCGAGGACGACTGAGAGTTTCGTGACAGGGCTGGCACGGAAAAAAAAAAGCATCGATATCGTTCTCCTCCTCCTTCCTCCTCGTCATCCTCCTTCCTCCTTGTCTTCCTCCTTCCTCAGCGTCCTCCTCATTCACCCGTCCTGTCCAAGCCCTGTTGCTCATATGATGTGGTGGAGGTTGCTCCTCTTGGGCCTGTCTATATCTCTACGTATATACATGGGTCTATAATATTTCTACCTATATCTCTACACAAATATATCTACACATATATACAAGTGTCTATGTATACATATATCTCTGCGTATGAGGGGGATGTGCCTATATATCTCTACATATTTACACATGTGTGCAGGTACTATGTGGCAATGCTTACATGAGTGTTATATGTGTACGTATATAGGTGCACATAGTATGTGGTAATACTTGCCTCATCACGATTGCACTTGATATTGCCTTGGATGTTGCATTGTGCCCTGGAGTTGGAGCCAGCTGCAATCGATGTCGAAGAGCACGGGTGGCTCAGAAGCGGTCTCGAGCTCCCCTTATTCATATTCTAAATCCAGGCTGGAGTCCTGGTTCATTCGTCGCCCTGATGGGTTTGTCCTCGCTGGGCCCTTGGGAGTGGTGAGCTTGCTCGCCCTTGGGTTCCAGTGTCTTGGGCAGCCCTGACAGGTTTTGCTGGGTGCGGAACTGGCCTTGGCGCCTTTAGGGGAGCCCAAAGTCGTTGTGCGAATTGCTGGGCTGCAGTTGGCTTATCTTCAAGATCGGCAATCGACACTCGACAATCGAGGCTGGCCCATCGACCATCGCCTACTAGCCATTGCGGCTCTTTGAGTGCACGCGCGCGCCTTCGGCTGTGCTGCAGCGCACTCTTACAACCTTCTCTTCCTGTACTCTTCCTGCGCCATGGAGGAGAGCCGCTCGATGCAGTTCGCGCAGGTCGTGGGTGTCATCACCTATGGCCAGATCCACAAGGACTTGGTGAACGATACCGCGCACGAGTGCGAGCGCATGGGGTCGAAAGTCATTCGCTTCGACGTCAGGCGCTTGTTGACGAAAGACCCGAGCAAGACGATCGGACACAATGAGAACGGTCTTCACGCACAAACCCAGAAGACGGTGATGTCACAATCAGGGTTCGTCGACGCGTGCAAGGACATCGTCATCGAGGTGTCGAACTACAAGGTCAAGGAGTGGCCGTCGATCCTCGTCCTGGTGGAGTGCCAGCACGGCTTGCATCGCAGCGACACGGTGGGCCGCGTGTGCAACGCGATGCTGAACTTCATACTGTCGAGGAACAAGGTCGAGGGTATGCACGTGCGCGTGTGCAACTCGAAGATCTTCAACTCGGGCGAGCAGTACGGCAAGCGCGGGCACATCAGCATGCTGGAGAGCGTCAAGGCGTGGATGGCGCCTGGGAAGGCATGGGAGCTGGCGGAGGGCGGCGAGGCGCCTTTTTCTCAGCTCTACGCGAGCCAGGCGGTCAGGGACGACCACATGGCGTACCCAGCGTGGAAGAGCCTGTGGGACTGGGTCTACACCGAGTACCACATGGTGCGCAATGTCGGGCCTGCGCCGCCGCCAGGGTCGCCGCCGCGGGCCGAGAAGTCGCGCAGGATCGGCGAGGGCGGCAAGGGCGGCACCAAGGGCGGCAAGGAGGCTGGCCCCGTCTACGGCAAGTCGGGGACCAGCAGTGCTTGGCGCCCAGTGCCAACGCGGGGGGTCTACGCCCGCGAGTCCGACGATGCGGAGGAAGAGGAGAGATACCAGGAGCAGGAGGAGGTGGCCGAGGAGGAGGAGGAGGCGACGCTGATATCGAGAGGCACCGAAAGCGTCGACATCGAGTAACCACTACCACCCGCACTCTCGTTCTCTCCCTTATGTTCCTTCCTTCACCGTCCATATCGCCATCTCCAGTGCGGGGGGTCTACGTTTAGTTTTTTTTGCTCGATCTTTCATTGTGTTTTTTTTTTTTTGTGGCGGTCCAGGAGTCTCAGCACATACGTCTGTCTCAGTTCGATCACGCACCCAGCTATCTCGCCCACCGCCCATCTGCCCCTCATCTTGCTCCTCCTTCCCCCCCCGCTTCCTCCCCATCGTCATCCTCTCCCTCATCCTCATTCTGGGTGCCAAGTCTATTTTGAGACCTCCTCCGCTTGGATGTCGAAACAACTGACCCCTCCCCTCCTACGAATGAAATGGCGGCGCCAAGGCCGAGAAGTTATCAGAAGTCGATCCTCGAGCAGCTGGCGAAGCCACCTCGACTGTCGACGCTAACTCATCATCTCCAACGCCAGTGAGCATGGAGGTGGAACAGAAGGCCGTTTCACGTGAACCACATTGTAGTCCAGCGTTGCCCCACCTGGTCCTGAGTGCCCCCGAGTGGTCATGACCCCGCCCCCTGCCCCGAGCCCCTGGCCGCACATATGGCCCCCGACTATCGAAATACAGGCTTGCTAAATACATCGAAGTCGATGGAAGGCGGCCGCGGAGGAGGCGCCTGCGGTCGCTGAGGAGGTGCAGGAGCCCGCCTGGGCCACGTTCGAGCGGGACCCTCGCGCCTGGCTCGGCTTTCTTCGCCGATACGAGATCGACGAGACGGCCCAGCAGAGCGTCTTCCTCCTGGCCCAGTTCAGCGATGAGGGTCATCGCGAGGCCAACAACGTGTTGTGCAAGCTGTTCAAGGAGATGGGCGAGGGGAGCCTCACGAACCCGTCGAAGTTCGTTCACAAGTGCGTGACGAACGCGCGGCAGGCCCTGGAGCAGCAGTATCACACGGGCCAGTGGCGTCGGTAGGCTGACGACGACGACCTTAGACGCAACCTCCCGTGCTCACGGTGCGAGGCTGCGGTGTGTATTTAAGTGCGGCGCCACCTCTCTTCGGGGCCCCTTAGGGTGCATGGGGCCTCTTTCGCGGCTTGCTGCTGAATCGATGTCGACTTGTGTTTTCGAGTTTGATGGTCGAGGACGCGGTGGAGCCGCGCGTGGCGTCGCGCAGCGAGGCGCCGCAGCCAAGGCCTTCGAGGACCCCGCCTAGGCCCTCGCAGCGCCGCAGATGATAAGCGCGAGGAGCAGGGCACAGTCGACTGTCGATCTCGGCTAGAGACGGCGCCGCTGCAGATGCAAAAAACAGAGCCGCCGCCGTCGTCGTCGTCGTCGTTCGCCACCGCCGCCGCCGCCGTCGTCGTCGTTCGTCGTCGTCGGTGGCAGCGTGCCTGGCGCGCGTTCGCCGCGCACTCGTGGACGACGTCCCCCCCCCCCCTCCCATCTCCTTGAACTGTTTGTACAACACGCTGTTGGTCTCGCGATGGCCCTCATCGTGGTCGTCGTCGTCGTCGTCGTCGTCGTCGCATCGACTATCGGTGCCCCCTCGCTGATGCTCTCTCGCCGCCCCCCCGCCGCGCCGCGCGTCGCGGGCGCCGTCGAGGCGCAGGCCGCCCCCCCCCGTCGAGGAGGAGGATGGGGAGTGGGAGCGACATGAGGAGGTGGTGGGAGTGGGGGAAACGGGGGGGGGCATCAGGCTGACGAGCGATGGGCCATTGATGCGACGGGGTGCCGAACGAGGCGCGCGCGAGCGCTGACATGGGCAATCGTTGGGCGCGTCCAGCCACCCCAGCGGCCATGAGCGAAGATAGTTGGTGACGAGGCGATGGTCACCATGACCATCACCTCGCCGTGGATTGACGAGGTGATGGTCACCATGACCATCCCCTCTCCGTGGATTGAGGGGGTGATGGTCATCATGACCATCACCTCGTCAATCCACGGAGAGGTGATGGTCATGGTGACCATCACCTCGTCACCCATCGACGTCGGCTGCGATCGAGGTGGTCGCGAATCGGGCCACCCAAACTGGTACGCCCAGCGCCTCATGGGCCGCGTGGGAGGTCAGGACGAGGTGGGCTGGAAGATGGGGGAGGGCCTGGAGGAGGGGGCAGGGCCTTATGCATCACCATCTTGCCGTCACCATTTGGGCTCGTAGCGCCTAGGTGCAATCGACATCGAAGCGCGTCCGCATCGGCATCGCCATGACGAGCGCGGCGGCGGCACCCACTGCAAGGGCGTCGTGCCTCGCCACCTTCAAGGGCGTCGTCGGCTTCGCGCGGGCGGTGACCGCCCAGATGGAGGATGCGGATCGGGCCCAGGTGATCGAGCGCCAGGTCGCCCACGTGAAGATGATCGTCCGTCGTGGTGGTTGCGCCAGGGATGACGCGACTCAGACCGTACACGCCATCAACGCGACAGACATCCTCACGGCCGCCCAGAAGCGCGAGCTGATAATTGCAGTAACGGAGTCGGTGACGATGGACATCGCCATGACGGGCAAGCGTGACGGGCGTAACTTCAACGTGCAGTACCAGACGCACCAGTACCCAGAACACTACCTGACGACGGAGATGTGGGCGCTGCTACAGGACCCCCACCTGGGGGTCGAGGCGAAGCTCGTGCACACCCTCGGCCTGCACTACCCCGACCAGAAGACGGTGCCTCGCTTGGCCGCCCTCGTGGTCGCGAGCGAGATCGCCGCGGGTCGGGAGCCTACGCCCGCGCAGGCGTTCGAGTACAAGAACCAGCTCAAGGACCCGACATCGACATCGCATGCACTCGACGTCGAATGCGCGACCCCCGCATCGAGCGCCCAGGTCTCAGCATCGGGGTCGGGGGTTATATGGGCAGGATCAGGGGGAGAAGGTGGGTGAGGGGGAGGACGAGGCGACGTCGATATTGAGAGGCCCCGAACGTGTCGACATCGAGTAACCACTATCACCCACACTCTCGTTCTCTCCCCATCCCCACTGCCCCCTCCCTCTCCGTCCACATCGCCATCTCATGTTTCGGGCCAAGGTTTTCACCCAGCTTTTTTCAAGATGTTGCCCCGCCTGTTGTTGAATTTGTTGGCGATCCAGAGGCCTCAACCAGACGACCCCGCTCCCCCTAGGGCACCCCACGGGGCTACATGCTCGAGGCTGGGCGCCCGATGGGGGTCGCGTGCTGCCCAGAGGAGCAGATCAAG